ACCAGCACCTGGCTGTAGAGCCGCTTGCCCTCGTCGGCGCCCAGCACGCGCTCCAGCTGCTCGCGGGACAAAGAGAACAGCTGGTGGCCCGGCACTCGCAGCTGCCGCTGGGCCTTCTCGCTGAACCCCTTCGCCTCCAGCCAATTCACCACCTCATCAGGGTTCGATTTCTGTAGAAAGTAAGATATGAACTGTAATTTTCCTTTGCCTATTTTTTTAATGCAGTTATCATTAAAAAGTGACTTCATGAGTTATCTCATATTGAAGTCATTTTTCAATTTGTTGACTCGATCTGTATATAATACAGGGAGAAAACAAAGCCCTTGCTGAGTTTCTTGCCGGTTCTTCTCAGAACAAGGTCTCCCGCCGTAGATTTGAGAACCGATGGCATAGCTTTTCGACATTCACAAGTGCTTGTCTTGTGCTTGCCTAGACTGAATAAACAATATTGAATTTTGATTTTTTTAATTATCATCAGCCTATTAATATCCCTATTGCAGGAGCAATGGCCTTCCCTAGGGATGGAACAGGGAGACTAGGCCATGACCCACTACGGGGGCCCAGTGCGGAGTGGTGGGTGCTAACGATTGCAAATGCAAAATTAAAATTAAGTTTATAAAATTTTTGTAATAAATTAAAATGGTGACAGGTTCGAAGGAGTTAATTAACTCCTTCATTGACTACTGCAGTAACCTGATCAATGAAGATGTCCGGAGTCTTCTTGAAGTCCAGCTTGGTCTTCCGCTGCTGGATGGCCGGCAGCACCGCCTTCAGCTCCTCGTGCAGGCTGGTGGTGCTCTGCATCGACTTAGTGGCTGAAAGTTCATTTTTCAAAAGTTCATTCTTGAGTTTATAAGGACAATGTGCCACAAGAATGGAAGTAAATGATATATTCAGAATTATTTATCAATGAAAGCGATGCAATCGAGAGCAACATAAAGCCTGGCGGACCTCAATTGTTTTTGAATACTTCATTGTATTTCGCGTTGGAAGAGCTTTCGCGAGCGCCTCCGTGCTGCGGAAGGCACGTAACCTGTTGTTGTCGACTGCATCTACTATTTTATTGTGTGTTGGTTTTTGCGTATACTTTTTATTCCTTACATATGGAAGGAACTATGATGTTGTTGATAATATATTATGTAAACCTGGAAAATAACTTTCCCTTGTCACATAAACTTGCCTCTTCTTATACAATTGGAATCTTTTCGCAATTCTTTAAATTTATAACTCACTTTGTTGAGCTCCTGCAACATTTGGAGCTTCCTTTTCTGACCTTCTTTCTTTGCAAGATGCTCACATACAACTTTCGCTATTTGAAATCATCATGCCTCACACGACACTTACACTTCATCGTATCCGTATTCCTGGAGACGGGCGGGGGCGGTGGAGGCGCCGGCGCGAGGGGCGGCGGCGGCGGGGGCGGGGGCGGGGGCGGCTCCAACGATCTCTCTGCAACACATTCACCCTTATATCCTGATGCGGGGAGCTCAAAATAATAAAGCACGTTATTATACAAGTGATTTTTAAAAAAATGTCTTTAGATTGTTTGAAATAGATTTATCATCTATACATAGATCAATTCAGTTTGTAAAAGGACTCTTTTGTCGTTCTTTCTGTTAATTATTCATTTGTAATGTAAGATCGAGGATTAATAATACGAACTAAGTGGTAATTCTAAGAAAAAAAAACCCTTATGTATATTAGCACTACATATTAGTCCTATTTAATATTTTATTTTTTCCTTTGATTGCTCATCCTCATCAGATTTTTAAGTAAAACTCAGTTATTTGTCTGACTTGTCTGACTATATGGTTTATCGTTTAGACTCAAAACAGAGGGAATGCTTTCCTACCATTCTCTGACACGACTGCAATGCAAAAGAAATTTTTCACTGTGTGGTGCCGCGACTCATTTCACGGGCAACATTGAAGCTGTGTGAATCAGCTTAACCCAACGCTGGCGTAAGCAAACTGATACAAGGCATGTGCATGTCTAGACGTGGGGCAAGTTCGAAGAAGACCAATCCAAGTGGCTAATATTGACGAGCTTTGTGGAGCTGCCCATCAGTGTTATTATAATAATAATAATAATAAATAATAAATTTTTATTGGCTTGAACAAAAATGTGATTTTAAACTAATGACCTGCATCTCCTTTTAAGCTTAAATAGCCTGTATCAGGAGATACAGCTCTATTATCACAGAACAAAGAAAATGGATGACGACGGCGACGTAACGATCTGGAGTGAGACAAAATTTGATGAGCGACAGCTAAAATTAAATGAGCCACTTTGGAGTTTCCCTTTAATTTTTTAATTAAAATTGTTTATTACAGACAACAAAATGGTCCATTAAATCGTTAGTAACAATATTTAACTTAAATGCTATGTTTATATATGTATGCCTTTACTCGACAAGTTAGGAGATACCGACAATGACCGACGCCGAGATATGACTGATAATGACAAAAAAAAATCCTGACTAAATAATATGGTCTTTTATACGGACTTTAAGTCGCTTCTCTAAAATGAGTTTTCGTAAAAAACGCATGTTTCATTGGAGATTTTACTAAAGTAGTTAGAGCAAATTACATTGAAACTACAACTGAACTGCAATTTTAGAGTCGGGGTGCGGTTGGAAAACAGGATCTGTCTGTCTAGCTTTGTAACTTAGCTAGGTTTATAGCGCATTTTGGTCGCATAGCTAGAATCAAAATACAATAAGGTACACACGTGTCGAAACTATCTCCATGAGGGGTTTAAATTAGTGACAAAAGCGTGCACCGATCTGTATTTTTAAACTTTTAGTAGGTATACTCAAATGTAAAAAGGCACACAGTTATCTTATCTACCATCTCCAAGAGTCATACTATGCTTCTGTTCATATTTTGATAAGGTTTAAGAAAATCATCTTCATTTTTTGCTTTTCTGTAATTTGTCGGAAGGCCCTTAAATGTGTGTTTAAATTTGGCTTTTAAGCTGTATGCCAGAGGCCCAAGCATGAATTTTGACAGCTCCTTAATCGTACATAGTGTCAATGATTTCTATGAAAATTAAACAGCGGACGTAAGATTAATCTGGTAAAATTTAACGACGACGGTACCATTACGGAGCTGTGAAAATTCGTACTAAAGCCTTAGAACACGCCGGTCGCTATGCTGGTTTTGTATGCTTTTTTTGTGTGTGTATGCTGTTGGTCGCAAATGCCCTTTACAGCGTCACCGGGTCTGGGGACGGCGAGATCCTAAAAGGACTTCAAGCCGAGAATTGGTGAGTGCCTCTAGAGGTATTCCAGGCGGATAGCATCTCCCCACGGAGGAGTCTGGAGCTTCTAGAGCACTCGAAGCTGAGGGGGACGGCTGAACTAGAGGGCGTCTCTGAGACTCAGACCTCGGCTCTAGTTAGCCGTTGTCGGGGGGGGTGAAAACGCTCAGATACGTAACTATACCTGGTTTAGTGTGTCGTATGTAGGCCGGGTCTTCGCACTCCTATCCTACGGGTGCGGTGTCTGCCTAATGCTAAGCTAGTGTGCAAGTATGCTAGCCGTGTAGTGTTGGTATTTGTAGCCTGCGTGGGAGGAGTCCGAGGCGCATTGGCGCGCGTGCTTTCGTCGTCGGGGTACTCTAAGACGGACCTGCACCACCATTTACTATGCTGCAGTTTAAGAGCGTTATGAGATATCCTGATAAATCACAACATTCGAATATTACGTTCAATTTTTATTACAGACCTATATTAAGATACTGTCTTGAACATCCAGCGCATCGTCTGAGCCAAGTTGTTCGATGCTCTAATCTGTTATAAGCTTGCTATACCTAAGCTTAGGTATAACTGTGATATCGTTAATAGAATAATATTGTGTAGCAAGAAGAAACTCTTTGTTTAATAGTATCTGTATTTTTTTATATTAAAATGGTGACAAACCAGCTCATGCCCCGTGTACGCGGTCACCATGATACTACATACTACTGACGCTTGCGATACCTCGCGCTGTCGTAAGTTATCACTCGCGCCTTCCCTGACCCTGTTCCTGAACCCGTGGATCCCTGGACCCTTACTCACCGACAGAAACACAACACCATCAAAAGGTAGTGTTCTGTGGTCTTCTGCGGCGTGGCGTGCGTTCCAATTCAAGCGGAAAATCGCATCATAGCTGATGAGGAGGTGACTAAACACCTTGAGCCTCTTCAATTACACCGTGACGTGGCGTCACTAAGCGCGTTCTATCGTTTGTACCACGGCGAGTGTTCTGAGGAGTTATTCTCTCTTATCCCACCTTCCCCTTTCCTTCAGAGGACCTCGCGCGCTGGCCTACGTTGTCACCGTCTTACTGTGGCCATAATTCCAACGCGTACAAAGAAATTTGGTGACTCATTTCTTTGTCGCACTATCCGTAAATGGAATGCTCTGCCCGCTCACGTGATCCCTCCCTCTTACAACCTGGGATCCTTTAAAAAGAGGCGTGAAGAAGCAACATGCAGGCCGGCAGGGTGAGGATGGCTGGTGTGGCAGGTAGAACTGCTGTATCAGCTATCTTCGCGTCTGGACTTCACCTTCACTTAACATCAGGTGGGGTGGAGTCATTTGTCGGATCTATCTATAAAAAAAAACGCTTTTCCCTACCTCCTCTTTAACTTACTATATAGCCTACTAGGTATATTTTGAAAAATAATAAGTGCTAGCAAGACGGTTCTTATTTCATAAACGTTTCATATTTTTTTCATAGATTATATTGATTACGTTCTTTATTATCCCAAGGAACGATAACAAACGGAATTTATAGGTATGAAAATACCTCACTAATTATTATTATCTTACCTTGACAACATGATAACATTGATAGCCAATACTTACACACACACATACACGTAAAGCGAAGCATTGCACACGGCACACAAAAGGAACAAGTTGAAGCCAATTGTTTTTTATTGAAGTACTGAAGAGATTTTAAAGTAAGGGGATGTTTGGGTGGAAATCACGAATAAACCAAATAAGGTTTGATAAAAAAATTTAATGTATAAAAGTGTACTTAAATACAAACGGAGCATTATCTAGTTTGTTGGTGGAGGGGCGGCGGGCGCCCGCTCCTTACACAATATATTAATATCATTTAGAATCATATACTTAATCATTTACAATTTCATAGCTTTCTCATTAAATATCTGACTCGTTTGCTGCGCTGGCGTCGGTATTGCGCGGCCGCCGGCAATAGACTCTTTATAATAAGATAAAACAGTAATAAGTACTTCTTTACGGAGCTGCCATGCACATCACACTGGTAGGTACCCCTTGCAAAAAGTGACACAACTCATAATCTCAAATTTTCTGGTAATAAAATTTTGCTATTGGAATGTAAATCACTGTTCAGTTTTGTCACTTTTTGTCAACATGTTTTTTACACACATTGGTATAGAGTTTACAGTCACACTAGAGCGATGAATGCGATTGTGTTTTCACTGTAACACATCATAATACCACACATCGCATAGGTTTTAGCGACTAAATATTGATATCTGTAGTAGACGAAACTAACAGAGAATATGATATGACCGAAAAATAGGATTAAGTAAAGGATATAGTATATTTTAAAATAAATGCAAACGGTAAAATAGATGTGGTAGATGATGTGATCGTATCAATATTTAGTCGGATGACATCCACAGGGCACACGCACAATACACAGATTAGAACACAAGCAACACACAGCGGCCGCGCCGCCACTCGCTCCACTGTACCACTAACATTACTACATAAGTTACAGTTATAAATACCAAACGCTACTTGGAAATGCGAAGACGAGCAGTTCACAATGCCGATGCAGCTATGGCAGAAACAGTAGGAGTAATATACTCTTTTAAGTTAAATAGCAGTCTCCGATAGTTTATAATTCTGATAAAAAACTTACGAGAGTAATTTTTTGGTATAATTATAATTATTATGAAAAATTTTACAAGTCGCTCTGATATCATAGATCGCGTTTTGTTTTCGCGCCCGAGCGAACGTTTAAATGCGTGGGTGTACAGCTTAGGTATTCTGTAATGTGCAAATCTCACTTAAGATTTCGTTAATTCGAATTTTTATTACTATACTCTTTATTGCATAAAAATAATACAACAATAATTTTTGACAGTTGTAAATAATCTATTACTGGCTCTTTCGACCGTCATTGCGCCATTTTGCCGTGTTATGACGTAATGCATATAAAACAAGTGTCTATAATGTCGGCACTTCACATGGCTATTCATATTTGCTATAAACTAGACGGCAGTCTCTTTTTCGTTTCCTATCAAATGAGAAGGAAATACTGCTGTAAAGTTTACAAATGGTCAACACGAATGTGACGTGCATGCGTGGAATTGGTTTTATCGAACTCTGAAGTGAGATTTGATTTTACAGAATCGCCTTTAGGAGTGGAATGGCGGCGCTAGAAGTATCGGAATTCGCCCTTTTTGCCGAGCCGCTCGCGACGGATCCAGTCCGCGCCGCCCGCGCCCGCGTCCCGTCCCTCGCGACCTTCCCGCCCGTCCCTCGCGTCCCTCATATCCCGCGCGTCGCGCCCGTCCCGCATATCCCGCGCCTCGCGCCCGTCCCGCATATCCCGCGCCTCGCGCCCGTCCCGCATATCCCGCGCCTCGCGCCCGTCCCGCATATCCCGCCCCTCCCGCCCGTCCCGCACATCCCGCCCCTCGCGCCCGTCCCGCACATGCATGTCCCGCGACTCGCGAGCCTCGCGGATGTCGCGGGCCGCACTCGCTATGGTCCTACCCGGGGGACCGGTGGGACTGCTTCCGCCAGACACTCGACCCTCCTGTAATAAATAACACACAAACGTAATTATTGAAGTGCCCCTTTAATTAATTTTCTCTATAAATTAGGAGGAGGCCATGCCGAGCTAATAGACAATTTATAATTGTTAGTTTGTTTTTATATGTAATGCTTAATTATAATGTGAAATGTTGGATATCTAGTTCGGAATAAAGGGCTAGGGAAATTATTAATAAACTGATTGAGCTATAATGTTTACTAGTGGGTGCCCCCGACTTCGTCAGCGTTGTAAAACTGCCACTGCTCTTTCATTTCTTCGTGTTTTCTAGGATAAAAACTATACTTTGTCCTTTCCCGGGACACTAACTATCTCAATACCAAATTTCATCTAAATCAGTTTTGCAGCTTAAGTTTGAATAGGTAACAGACAGACACACTTTCGCATTTACAATATTTGTATGGATCTCTGCTGAATCTCAACGGTCGATGCTCTGGCTCTGATAAACCCGCAAAGCACGTGTAGTAAGTAAGCTGCTGTAATTTGACTCCGACAGAAACATAACATCACCAAAAGGTTAATTATCTGTAGAATTCTGTAAGGTTGGAGTTTGCTTCCCTAGCCGAGCGCCATTTCCTGTCGTGGAGAATACTATACACCGTATAAGATGAATGAGAATAATATGCGGTGATCAAGATTGTCATGATTTAGGATAGCAAGCGAGGCAGAGTAATTTGAGAGGTTATCTACAAGCTTTAGACATACATGGATTGAGAGGAACGCTCAAACATTCAGTTATGAGAGAGACGAAAGGCTTTTGCGGTCAATAGACTATATTATTATAGGTATTGCCAACACCATTCCTTTCTTGCTATTTCGAGATTTGTCAATGTCATGCATGTGCCACATTGCGGTAAAAAGTGGTTTCACGCAAACTGCGATCAAGAGGGCGGGGCGAAAAAACTGCGATCAACACGCCGATCATGGGATTTTAGTCACCCAATGAATGGATAGCCTATATAATAGCATTATTCATTTGCAGATACTATTTTGTTTTATCTGTGTTAATGTGGCGACAGTATTGAAGTTTTGATGTATGAGTTTTTAGGCATGTACTGCGTTAGTGGCCTTTGTTAGAGAGCAATGTTTCCATATAATTTCTAATTGGTGGTTACAAGCGAGGAAGGCGTGTGACCTGGTAGTGCGTGTAGATGGGGTTGGGGTAGAGGTGCGGCGAGGCGGGCGGCGAGAAGGCGGGCGCCACGATGGTGTGCGGCACGTGCGCGGTCACATGTTACAAGCGAGGAAGGCGTGTGACCTGGTAGTGCGTGTAGATGGGGTTGGGGTAGAGGTGCGGCGAGGCGGGCGGCGAGAAGGCGGGCGCCACGATGGTGTGCGGCACGTGCGCGGTCACCCCGCGCCGGTTGCGCGCCTTCCACCACTTGCGCGAGTCGTCCAGCACCTGCGGTAGCGGAAAATGTACTTGAGACAATAGCTCATTGTGGCATATAAAAGGACGTGTTGCTAGGGTCTAATATTGTGCTCCATTGGGTTTTATAGAAAAATAGAAAAGCCGGCCGGGTGATGTTAGTTTGAATTTGAAAATCTTGATTCGATCTATGTTGGTTACACTCTGATATACAAACAACCGTAGATCATTTTTTTCAGAAGTATCAAAATTCCTTCACGTTCTACTATATTATTCTTGATATCAGATTTACAACCAGAAAATTTATCAGTTTATGGTAACTTGATGTGTGGCTGTCTGCATATTATGAGAACCAACAATTACATTTTAGAACCTGCGAACGCTGTGATTCCTTGGAAAGGACTCACTTCTTTTTATTGTTTATAGTTTCACCTAAAAAGACAAAAGCCAAGGTCTGTTACAAGTTGGACAAATATGTTATACTACTGAATCTGTTGTGTAATGTGTAAAGCTCTTTGGAATCGCCCAATATTATTCTACCACCCATTCTTTTAGCTGATGAGAAGAATGGGGACAAAAAAATCATCAGCATTTACAGAAGTAGCAATATTTACATAATATTATGTCGCTACCAATACAACGTCCACTCACATTTCGATTCCTATGTCACACAGCATAAATACCGATAGTGTTTATATTAGGTATAATTAGAGTATTTCGATATTAAAGTTGTATATAGCGGACTCATCTCCTGTGGCAGCACACATTCACGAGCATGACACTTGAACCAATCAACCCGTCCCTCAAACGACAATGTAGATGTTGAAGCTGGTTTACAGTAAATGGTGCGTACCTCGAGGTACTCCCCCCTGAGGACGGTGAGCTCCTTGTCGTTGTTGGCGGTGCGCGGGTACGTGACGCGCACCACGCGCCCGCCCCGCGCCGACACGCCGCGCGCCCACGACTCGCCCAGATCGTCTGCAATACGGAACATAGTCTCATGTACGCGGCACGGTCACGGTAATATTATCTATACAGTATTGTGACTCCGCCCTGTCCTTGAAAATAAATGCCTACGGCCGAGCGCTGCGTTAGCACGCGGTAGGGCCGCCCGCCTACAGTATTTTATGCAGTTTTGTTTTTAACGCGAGTGTGGGTAGATTACTCGTTTGTCTCTTTTTTCATCCTAACCACTTATTTATATATTATTCCAGATATTTTGCCCGATGGAAAAACCGAAATACCTAAATATTAGAAACAAATTACGTACTAGCAGATAGGTATATAAAAAATGTTCTATAAAGGAAAGACACCTTTCCAATATTTCAGGTAATTTAAAAAATGATATCTCTGGGTGTGTTATTGAAGAGTTCAAGCAACCAAAATCAGCAATTGTGCTGTACGATATTGATCGTCGTTTGTTCTTTTCCATACTAAATTATGTAGGTATCTACTTAATTAAATCAAATATTTACAATACAAAACGCACGTTTAAGCACGGCTAACTGCATAAAAGACAATTCAGACCGTTCGGTCGTCGTTGCGGCGCGGCGGCGCATTCGCGACTGGGTGCCCGCCGAGAGCCCTTCGAACTCGAGTGGCGTAGGTATGACTCGTTTTCCGACCGTTTGTATGAAGATAGAATACTGTATGATATTATTACCGTGACACGGTCGCGGCACGTAACTCTAGCGCTCAACAAAACGCGGAGGGGATAGCTGCGCATGTCGGGGGGTACGACTGGAGAGACAATCTATTAAGTTTGCAGATTAAAAGGAAACCATACTTTGCAGTCAGCCATTTTATTTAGCAGAGAGAGTACACCATAGATAACATACATAGGTTAAATAGTGCTGTAAGTCAAAGACTAGTAATATTCTTAACACAGCCCCTCAAGTTTAGGGCGTAAGGAAATTAAGTTCTACAACTTGCAAGATAAATAATTTTACATGTTATGTTTATAAACAATTTTATATATTTAAATAACGGCGCAACGCACGCCCACCCGCGCACCTCGGTTCCCCCCAACACATCTTAATTTTTACTTCTGAGCAATAACGGTCAGCGCTAGAGTTTCGTGCCGCGACTTATACGACCACGACGGGATCACCATTTTAGGAAGATGAAATATATATTTATTCACCAATACAAGATTTTAACTTAGCTTACAATTAAACAGTGGTTTTTGCACTGAGCTGAGCTCGTAACGCAAAGACCTAACATTTTAGTTTTTCTAAATGGTTCGCATTACAATATGTTGACAAAACTCGGGAGGTGAACATTGTGAGTGAGGAAGTTACGGTAATACTTAAATGTTCGGTTACATTAAGACAAAAAAAATATGACAATAGTAAAATTATTAAAGTAACTTTAAACATTTTTACTGAATATTTTTACAAGTTACATATATTTAATAAAAAATCCTCGAATTATAATTACTCATGTGTGTATATATGAGTGTGAGTCTGTGTGTGTGCGAGTGTGGATGTGTGTGTGAGTGTATGTGTATGGACTCATGGGTGTGTGCCTGTGATAATTTTCAACCCACCCATAGTTAAGAAAGGTCAAAGGGAAGATCTCTCACCGATCCGGGGAACTGCTCTTTAACTCTTAAAAAAACCTTAAGTAAAAATATCGTAATGTGAACACATAAGTTTATTGTGAATGGGAAGTAAAAAAAGAAACGAACGTTTATGATGAGTCTTGACGAGCAGATTTGGTAACAGTGTTGTTGGAATGTATTAGGAAATAGCAGCACTATTGTTTTAAAATGCTATTTAGATCAAAGAAAATGACAAAACTGGGTTTTGCAAGTCTCAATGTTTGTTTTCTTGTATGAGTATGAAGCAATGTTTGGATTTATTATTATGAAATGGACTAACCATCATCAGTGCGGTACGGAGGTTCTCGATCGGGCGACGACGCCGCTGATCCGGAGTCCTCCCGAGCCAAGGTGCGTCCACTGAAATAGTCATCACTTATTAGATATAGAAAGTAATAAATAGACAGGCATTTTTCGCTATAACACGACATTAGACATACAATACAAATAAGCACACTCAATGCAACAAAAGATGCCACATCAGTTCCACACCAGTACATTTAAAATGCGATTTCAGTTGCAGTTACCGGAGCTGCTGTAAATTGCTGTGCCTGCTCTAACTTCCTATTAAATTTCTTGCCGCTTCTCAGACCATAACATATACCTTACCCACAAATGAGACCGTAAAATGGGTGGCCAAATGAAAGACAGTATTTCGGTAGTATCTGAGATGTTTACTGCTCGGAATCCAGTTAAAAATGTTCTTAATTGCCAATTTTTTCCCTATATAAAGATCATATATTCAATGGCAACGCCACCTAGTTTTTAAATGCTGAAACCTCACTCAAATCATTAGATTGTTTGCAAGATACTGAATTCACTTAAGCGGCTAGATGGCGCTGTCGTAACATCGACTTCATACCTGGTGTAAGGCGCGTATTGGTCGCCGTAGAGGTCGGCCCGCTCGTCTCGCTCGTCGCGCTCGTACGTATAGGCGGCGCTGTCCGCTCGCTCGCCCGCGCCCGCGCCCGCCCCCGCCCCCGCCCCCACCCCCGCCCGCGCCTCGGCCGGCCCGGGGCCCGCGTCGCTGCGACGTGGCGACGGTCTAAGCAACGTACACAACGCTCACACACACATACGCGTAAACACAACAAAAGCATTGCAAACATATACAAACATGTAAAAACGATAAACATTTTCCCCCAGACAAGTACGACTGAGACCATTTTTTAGGTACGCTTTCAAATTACTGCATAATACAGTATAAACAATACTAAATATGAATAAACAATGATAAATATGATATAAAAAAAAATGGTTGCCTGTAAAGTCGGTTTTACGGGCGAAGATTTTACGTGACAACGTCTTTTTCTCGGTAGAATATTTATTGATATGAATATAATTAAATTGCACAATAGGAACAAGGAATTGAATGAAAATAAGAATTGCACAAATTTTAACTATAGAAATATATTTTGTTTACTAAAACATTGTACATGTAAACTTAAACTTAACACGAGAGACTCATCGTAACGTTACCGAGCGTTACACTTTTTCATAAGTGACTCCCAGCCGCAACCTAATTTAAGACGTTGTCACGTCAATACAATCAATAAGTGTTTCAGGAAATTTTATTGCACAACGATGTTGTCTTAATATAACTATTTTAATATTTATTAATTAATTATTTTATTTAATTTTGAATTGTAATAACATAGTTTTAAGCTTCCATTGTTACTATATATGGACTCTGGTTCGAAATAAACATATTTTATTTTATTTATTTAATAAAAGCACCACCTACGTGATTTCGAATGGACGTAACAAGAAATTTTAACACAAAAATCTACATTTTCTCGGTTATGCCCTTATGCAATGGAAGGTCCAATAGTATTACAGCTCTCATTTATTATCAAAACATGAACTTAGAAGTTAAATTAAACTGAATATCGCGTTTACAATTTACGGAAACAATTATGTTTTTTCTCTATTCTCTGGGAAAAAGGCGTGACCGTTTTTACTATATTATAATGTATGTAGGTGTATGGATGGCTGACCTGCGTAAAGGTTGGTCGTCCACCTGGTAGTCGGGCGACCACCCGTCCATGAACACGGGGTGGTAGGGTGGGATGGGGGTCTTCCACTGCTCTCTGGAAGATAAAGGAACCTACTTAATAAGATTTGACCAAGAGGCAACATCTTCACTAACATATCTTTATAACTAACTAACTTTGAGACCTCTTACATCTATTTTAATGGAATTTTCTTGTATGAAACTTCGATAAACCAAGATCCTTATCGAATTGTAAATAGTCTAATTGTATTAAAAATATTTAACTAATCCATTAGCGTACTGGGCTGCTAAGCCTCTTCGTGGAACATTATCAAATTTTTTATCGTTTAAGTACGCGCCGTCACGTCGTGAAAACTTACAGGTGTCATGGTTTAATTGTATCAACGGAGATATCGGCGGTATCGAACACGATGTTTTAACGAAAATAGACGCATAATTGTTTTTTCCTAACTTTAAATAGGTAATCATATTCTTTCACTTTCCTCGGTTCCTCCGGAAAGGATTGGGGTGAGCAACACAATTGATACCTCTTCCTCCTCTATTAATTTATCACTAGCAAACCAGTGAACAAAATGTTCACCAAAACCTGATTTAAAAAAAAATAAAAAAAAAGTATTTATTCAATTGAGAACTTCGGAGATTTTGTGTGGTTTCGTTTGAAATTCGTGATTTCTCGAAAACCGGAAGTGCTACGTTACTCAAATCCGGTTTGTAGACTTAAATATTCTCTTTATCTATCTCTTACGGTTTGGTCGCTGAAACAGCACCACAGACGGACGGACTTGTCTAATAGATAAGAGATGAGGTGGGACATTTGCTAGAATGCATTTATACTCGTAAAATATGGAAAGAATGTGCGTACCTGGGCATGAGCCATGCATCGCCGAGCGAGTGCCAGAGCTCGGTCTCCTTGCTGGTGACACAGTTGGCGAGCAGGTTGAGCGCGTCCCTGGTGAGCAGCGGCTGCACCACGCGCGCCGGCAGCCGCCCGTCCGCCGCGTCCTGCGCCGCGTCCACGATCAGCGCCAGCGGCGTGAACAGGAAGTGCACCAGCTCCGGCGCGTTCGGATCGTGGATGTGAGCGCGGAGCCTGGCCAGAAGGTTGAACGACAGCTTGAACTTCTGCAGGACGTCGACGAAGTCTCTTTCGGGCGGAGGTCTCGTTCTCAAAGCGAGCATTCCCTCTCCGGCACCGGCGCCTGCGCTCCTCCTGCCGCGCGACCGCCTCCGCCGCTCCAGCTCTCTGGAAGCCGCCGCCGCGTGCTGGAGCCTCGCTATGAACTTCTCGATGTCGTCGAAGCAGCGGTTGAGGATAGCGATGTCCTGCTCGTACAGCCGCTCGGAGCCGGTGGAGGAGGCGTCGTCGCGGTCGCCCCCCGACCCGCCGCGCTCCCCGCGACCCAGCTGCGCTGACATTTGCTGCGGAAAATAGGCGATATTAAGTCTCTCGCAAAAGTACTCTGCTGAACGACGAGGCGGACATATTCTGTTGATGATTTGATACGCGAAGCTCAAATTGGCCCTACGACGTGAACATCTTTCTCTTCATCGCAGTATTGACGAAAATGTTTTTTTACATATTAAATACGTAAATAGCCGCCTAAACATATGCAAAGAATGAGGCTTTTCTTATTAATGATCAGAAAGCACTACGTTGGCGAATCCTGAAAAGTAATAAGACACTTTGACTGTAGACAGCACAAACATTCTTTCGAATCTGGAAGATGTTGATAGAACTTTAGCACTTTAAAGTCTCATCTCTTTAGATTCACCCGGCACCCGATCAGCACCGCCTCAACTCGTGTGGTTGAAATTCTTTGTATGGATTTCTATAGGTATACGCTCACTACATCAACTTTGTACCGTCATCATGGATTAATTTTCGCTAACAAAGCGGAGTCAACTATGCGGCTGGTGCGGCATTCACTCGACCACCTGACTGGTTGACAACGAGGAGCAACGACGTTAGGAAGTTGACAACGCGGCATTCATCTGCGTTTGCTCGTCGACAGCGACTGGACGTTGCGCAACGGGGCGGTGCTGGCTGGTTCTAATGAGCTGTGATCTTTTTTTTAATTTCTTAGGGAATGTCACCACTACAGTAAACAAATAATTCTTTTAAGACGTGAACTCACGACTAGTACAGCCTCCCATTGATTGCGCGTGTACGTGTGGTACATTCGCTCCGACATGCTTCACGCGCGCTACTGACGCCTGTATTTTGTGCCCGCGTGTCAGCCGAAGATTATCCTTATCCTTCTATCTATTTAACGACCTAACGGATTAAACGTTTTTACTCATTAAGTAATAAATCCTCTAACTTTATTATCGTCCAAAAATTACAATAAGCAGACTTAACTAACACAACACTTCACTACCCATCACAGTTCGATGTTTAGAACCCACAATATACGATACAGCGAGAACTACAAGCCCGACTTCCAAAACGGCAGTAGCATAATTAAAATACGAACGCTACTAAATTTGAGTATGATAATGTTAACAGTATGACGGACTATTTTATTATCTAGGTATCAGTTGATAAAAGCGATATCCAACATTGGGTTCGATACAATCTACACACACATGTCACGAAAGAAATGTTATTTGCTTACTAAAGTTTTGGTGCAATATTTAAAAAAAAAAGACTCACCTGTCTCCGTGGTCTGTCCATTTCAGTTTCTCTCTCGCGCTCTCTTTCTCTCTCGATGATGAAATCGCGTCCGCCTTCACCCGATCCACCACTGCCAACGCCCCTGCACAAATTTCATCACTTATCTAAAATAGTTACTTCCAAACATCAGGAAATTACGGTAAACGTAAAAAGATATCGGAAAATTTGCTACTATCAAAGAAATGAGTCACCTTTTTCATCGATAAAATTTAGAAGGCGGATCTCATTTCATATGCTGTGATAGTACTAGGAGACATGCTGAATATTAAAGATGGACAATTGGACATATCGCACCATGTGTAAGCGGACACGGGCGGACAGAACGTATGCTTGATGTAGATCATCCAGTCACACGCGACGTATAATGCATTCGCGCTGATACTGAAGCAGCCAAGCATCCCGCCACAAGAAAGAGATTAGATAATTTTATCTGCATCTAAAATTCTCAAGTAGCAAACATTCCAATACCTCTGTTTATAGATAAGGGCAAGATGACGACACGAATTTTATTTTAAGATAATCAAAATTGTGGCAGTCGGTGCATTATTCTGTACCACGTGTATTGCGCAGACGCAACATTCTCAAATGGCAAAATAATAGATAACATAAAACAAGAGGTACAACTATTTGAAAGGAAATGCCAAAAAATTGTGAGTAAATCTGAAAAATTATAATATCTTTAAGACGTCATAACCTGAACATTAATAATAGTGATAAGCAAGTAATTATAAATTCGACGGTGATAAGTTGTATTAAAAAGAGATATGCAATAAACTTATATACGAACCAATATGACCTTGGTTCGAAAAATTGGTTAGGTCTTGAAAAATCGACTTTAAAAAATTTATCGGTAATAATAAATAAGTAAATAGATAATGTCTGTGAAAGTGAATCTGATAAAAATAGACTCTGGTTAATTGTGGTTGGTCTAAGGAATATAAAAATCACTTTTATACTTTGTGAAAATATTAAAGTATGACAAACTATTGCATAGTTACAATGAGGCACCAAGCATTTTTTATTATTAAAGCTTTGGTATATACGGGTATATGTGTATACCTAATCCAAGATTACGGTGAAGACCAGTTAAATAATTACACTGACCTGAATCACCGATAGATATAGCAGAAAATTTAGTTTATCGATAAAATCCTTGAAGATTATAATCTAAATCTATATTTTTTGATAAAAGTGAGAGAAAGATACACATCAAAGGACTTCTTGAAATAATTAAAAACGTATTTGATTATTTGAAAATATAACATTACAACTTTCGTAATAGTAAGTATAATATTCTTTATTGCACTCAACAAAGGTTACAAAAAACATAAACTTATAAAACCGAAGAAAGAGTATACAATAGAGGGCCTTATTGCTAAACTGCAATCTCTTCCAGGCCACTTATGGTGAAAAATTACTAATAATAAAGAAATATATAGAAGGGTGCAAAAGAAGACACAGATATATTTACATATATATTACATATAAGAGAAGCAAAGGAAATGGGATGTATAATAATTTTAAGCTACGTAAAGGAAATAACTTTTTCTCTAAAAGAATTCAGTGATAAAGCCTCTAGAATTCCTTCGAGGAAAGAGTTCCAGAGCCGAATAGCTTGCACAGAGAAAAGAGTAAGAATCTCAACAAGAAGGTAAGAAAAGGAGCGCAGTGAAGTCAAGAGGTGGACAGAAAAGTGGAACATTACTTATTACTTATTAATTCTTCAATACAAAACTTTTTGACATTTGCCGCGTATCGAGATCAAATTTGACTTTTCGATTTCTATATTGGTGCGAAAGGTCGCGACGCAATAAAAAATCGCAGTAGAGAGGCCAAGAAGGGGATTCCAAAATCCCCCCTTGGGCTCTCCAACTATTGAGAATGATGTAGGCGCGCGTGGTACATCATTGACCCTGCGCATAGTGTCGCTCGCTGCTAACTTCACAGCCGCCGCTAAGGTTTGGATCGCACTTTAGGCTGATAGCAACACTTGAATTATTTCTATGGATTATATAGTAATTACTTGAGCGCGTTCAATTCTTCCACCAGCGCCTGCGCGGCGACGTCGTGGCACTGGAAGATGTGCAGCTCTCGTCGAGGCGGGGCGTTGGCCGGCGCAGGCGCGGGCGCAGGAGATGAGGGAGTACCCCCTTCCGTCGGAGCGCCTACCACGAACGCCACCACGTTGTTGTAAAGCTCCGCGGGCTCCGGAGATGTGAATGCCGTCGGTGAGTGTACCCACGACGCTGGGAATCGCTCCATTATGGACTGCCAACAAAAATAACTACATAGTAAGTTCTCCACTAGTTTAGGGGATCTAAAGGCTCTGGGAGAATGTACCCATGACGCTGGGAAGCGCTCCATTATGTAACCCCAGTAACTACTAGAGGTGTAAAAGGAAATTTAACCTTCGAAAAAAGAGTTTAAGCCTTCGGGCGTCAACACATTTGTAATATTTCTGGTGTTGCAGGTGTATATGGGCGACGATGATTACTTAAGGTAATAAAGAAGATACTATATTTTCTAGATATTTCCTCTCAAGATTTCGTAGGGTGATCGGGATTAGGAACGTAAGGGGCTTTTATATTGTGGAAAAGAGTAAAATTCGTTTTATTTAGGAAGTACCTCAACTTCATGTGAACGATAGGTGGATTGAATGACTAATAATATAAATAAAGTTGAATAAATAATAATATAAATAAAGTTGGCGACTATGTATGAGATTTCCAAAATTACGATGGTTTAAAGAACTTCAAACTATTACTTTAATTATATAGTCTCCTGTGTTATTTGTGATGTTAAAAATATTTTTGGTCTTTTGTCATTAACCATAAAACATTATGGCCCGGCTGGATAATAACGGTATTGGTCACCAAACATTGCATGATCTGATCCCAATATTAGTTCAAATTGTATTTTCATGTAATTAAGATGTGCTTTGATTAGCGTGAGTTGCACCAACTTGTTTTAACGTAAATTTCCATGTCAGGTCATGATAAATTCTTAGTAAAATTTAACTGTAACTAGCTCTGTGGTGTAACTCCCGCTATAATATATTTAGTTCCTTGATTAAATCATAATATAGTGAATGACCTTACCATAATGTAACTAGCTATGGAAGAGTGGTTCTTTTTGGTACAGGTGTCTATACACTTAAAAAAAAAGAGCCTACGTTTATTTATGTAACCAGATATATGGTAAAGAAATAAATCAAAATCAAATCATAAAATCAAATATTTACTCCGCGGAGCTTAACAGGATTACTCAATTTATTAATCTCCTCTAGCTTTTTGAAAATATTTAGCCGAAGCTATACGAAGTATGGACCCGGGAATTGACATTTATAAAAGTCAATAGGTTAGGTTAATGTTGCGATAATAGCCAGAAAAAAAATTCAACATAACATTGTGAAGTGTCGACTCTTGGGCCCAACTACTACAGTTTTTTTTATTTCTCATAGCGTATTGTAAATATCGACATGTGCAATAAGACGGGCGAACACTTTGGGGCGAAAGTGGTGGAAAGTGAAAACAGGTATTGTCGGTCAAACAATGATGGCTGCCGCGATGCGCCGATGACACACATCGACATACTTACCTGTTGCCCATTGTACCATCGAACAAATATTAATCGGATAAAAATATGAAAACAGACAAGTTTTCCTTTGTGTGAGAAGAACCTTTTAACAACAAGGATATTGTATTTATATTGATCTTAGACTTATAATTTGAGCTTTATTTTCAATGCGATAGATCCTCTTATAGATTAGAATAGTAATCTGAATTTCAAAGAGTCTTAAAATCTTAATAAAAGAATCTCTTTGGATTTCTTAATATAAATAGACACACACTTAGTTACTTTTCTTAAACAAGTAGATGCGCTATCACCATTTCTGTTTAACTTAGCACTTGAGAACGTCATTCTAAAAGCATTAGAGATCAGCGGCGGAGTGGAGTTGAATGGTAATCACAAGATTGTCGGGTATGCGGACCGCCTAGCATTATTGGAAAAGTGCGAAGAAGAAGTCCGCAAGATGGCGGAAACTCTGGAGGAGGAGATGGGAAGGTTGGTCTGAGGATAAGCCACGTAAAGACTTAGTACTTTCACATGAAAAAATACAAAAACACGAGAGAGAAACGGAAAGATCTGAATGTGTAAGGAACCACCTATAAGGGCGTCAGTAAATTTCAATATCTGGGCTGTACGGTAACAGACACCAACAGAAGAGAAGAGGAGATCGACACCCGTATCCAAGGCGCATTTAGGTGCACAGCTGCTCTCACAAGGTCTTAGTTTCCAAGCTATTGCTAAGAAAGACGAAGATTCGGACCTACAATACATTGATTAGACCAATCTTGATATACAATTGTGAGGCTTGGACGCTGACCCTTAGATAGGAGAATAAGCTGTTAGTCGCGGAAAGAAAGATTCTGCGGAAGATCCTGGGGCCGACTCAAAGAGAGGATGGTAGCTGGAGGGTGCGGACAAACATCGAGCTGGATAATCTAGTGTCCAAGCCAGGAGAAATTCAAGCAGCTAGACTTCGCTGGCTCGAATATGTAGAGAAAATGGGAGAGGATCGAGCCTTGAGGAGAGCGTATTTGCGGCGACAGATAGGACGACGACCCGTTGGACGACAAAGATATCGCTGGAGCGACGAGGTGCAGAAGGACTAGCAATTGCATCGTTGCGCCGCAGCAGTAAGTTAGTAAGTATCGACAAAACTCCAAATAATTGAATGTCAAAATTATGTCACAGAAAGGCGGCAAAATCTGTTACGTCAAATATTATCATTGTTCAGAAAATAACAAGTTTGTTTCCAGGGATAAGTACGTACATTGAAGCAAAATCTATTTTACATTTTTGAAATGGTTGTAAGAAAATAAGCTTGTGGTGGGTCATTATTGGAGCAGGATTCATAGCCGTTCTAATGCATAATGTACTAAAAACAGATATCGAAATAACGCATCCGATATTATCGACCGATAATAACGCGCCTATGGGGGAAGGCTATATTATTGGGTAAGGTCTATAAAACTTACCCCAGTTTCGTAGTCCATGACGAGCACCCACTGCCCTTCTAAACATAATTGCATCTTTTGGCTCCATATTCCTGGAACAGACGAGCATTTTAAGAACATTACATTATATAAAAAAAAAATCCTTTTCCATTTTTTTCTATTGCCGTCATTTCTAATTAACTTTGATTTTCCGCTTGAATTGGGGCGCCCATCTGGGGAAATAGCCTTCACCTTACAGAAGATCACAGCAAATACCACTATCTTTGGTAGTATTGAGTGATATTTTTGGTATCGTAAGCGTCTAAAGGCTATGGTGGCTGCTTACCATCAGGCGGGCCTAACCTAACCTAACCACCTTTAACATAAAAAAAAACCACATAGTTTTGAGTCTATCCTAGGCTGTTGCTATAACGAAAAGGAAGAAGTTTTCTCTGCTTATAAGTAGACTGCACCCAAATAGCATAATATTAAAAAAAATCTTTATTCAATTTATTTAGTTCTTATTTTTAACAAGATAATCATGCCATGCCATCTTCAAAAGGTCTGTCAACAAACCTTTTTTCTGGTACTTTTTCGAAAGCTAAAGATTTTTTCGTAGAAGTTAATCAACTTTCACAATGGTTGGTCACTTTTTTCTCTGTCGTTTTTTTTTAAAACGTGGTGCAACAATCCCACCCCATCTGATGTTAAGTGAAAGTGGAGTCCAGTCGCGACGATAGATGATGCAGCAGGAGTGCCGCACCAGCCGTCCTCATCGCTCCAGCCGGAACCCAATCCCTTACTCGGCGGAGCCCTGGAACCCTTCTCACCAGCAGAAACGCAACTTCACCAAAGATAAGTGTTATTTTACTGTGGCCTTCTGTAGAGTGAAGGTTACTTCCCCAGACGGAAAATTCGCTATGCCCTCCCTCCGGAAGGAACGTAAAGCAATTGGTTCGACTCCATCGTTTGCATCCAGCAATCGGCCCTGGGTTCGATGGTGGCTCATGGGCACTGGCCCATCATGGTAGGGAGATTGCTCCCTACTCCATCCATAGAGAAGGACTATGCCCCAGCAGTGGACCAAATACTGACCATTAGTCTTCTCAAGTTGCAGTAGCCTCCGCATGCCATCGGCGGGGTACACGATCCCGGTCTCCCGAGTGACCGTGAATGTGGCCAGGTGTTCGAGCACATAGAGAGCTCTTCCATCAGATGTGGAACCTCCCCGCTCCCCGCGCTCCCCTCTCAGCCCCGCCAGCTCGTCGAACTCGTCGAGGGTCCTCTGCGTCTCCCCGCGGGACCTGGCGGTGCCCCCGCCCCCTCCGCCGCCCCCGCGCATCGCCATGAGAGGCCCTCAGACGCGGGCTCCCATTACAATGCACCACCCTGTCTGTAGTCTTTGCGCAGTCTCGCGTGCAGTCGTCTTGTAGATTGCTATCTGTAAAAAAGAAAAAACTTGCATCATGGTTTTGCGATAAGTGCAGTGAAATTTAATTCCTAATTATACAAAATTATTTTAATGGTAATAAATAAATAAGAATTTCTTACACACAGAAATTAGCTAGAGTATATGTATAAGGCTTGTTTTATGGGATACTAGGGTAACGGATGGTATAGTAGATTAGTAATACATATACCGATAAAAGTATATTTTTATTTAGAAATACATATAAACATACATGACTTTGAGACAAATGCTCGTATTCATCATACAAACATTTGCCCCACCAGGATTCGAAGCCGGGACCTCCGAGTAGGTGACACCTAGAAAACCGGCGTATTTGCCACTCGAACTAAAGAAGTCAACAATGTTATGAAATGATTGCTACTATTTGATTCCGAAATCCGTCCAGCCGCGCGTTTTTGAATAGTACTTTAAAAAAACAGCATTAGGTTAATTCTAGTTTAGACTGGATATTTCTGATAATGAAATCTCTGGTACAGAGATAGAGACTAGCATTATAGATGCCCACAAAGTAGTAAGTAAGTAATAGAATAGATGCATCAGTTTTATGGAGCTTTATACTCAGTTAGTGATCTATCCCAAAGATCCGTAAAACCAATAATTCATGTTCTACACATAATAGTAAATTTCCAGAGTGAAATTCTAAGTTCCGACTGTTAATTTATAATATTGACGTTTGGGACAATAGTGAAACGAAAGCAAGGGAAAATATGCCGTAAATCAGTAGGTAGTATGTCGACTCGGCCACTACCTCCTCACTAGGTCGTCGACCACTGTGCGAAGATCAACGGTCTTACCTGTAAGTTTCTATTAGAGAACTGTCCGGCGACGCGACACATACGTGACACGAATGTCGGACACTCCCCGTGTATGCAAATCATGTGACAACTACTTACATACCACGCATAATTTCGCTTTAAACCCCTTGTGAGTAGACAGCAGATTAATAGCGGCGACACCATGTTTGAGGAAAATAAATGTATGGCTTTTATTATTATGTCAAGCGAAACGTGGTCGTTTGCTACGGGTCTCATCAGAAGGCTCAGTTAGCAATGAAGAGAGCGTATGCTTTGTATTTCCCTGTATTATAGAATCTGAAATAAGGAAACCCGTAGGAGAACTAATGTTACTGACATCGCTCTGACGCGTAACTCGCAACGTTTAAATTGGAGCTCTGCTCTCTTTCTCCGAAACGAAATTTCTGTAACGAACGAATCTTAAACGAAATTTCGCCAATGACACTATTTCATTTACGAACACGCACATAAAGTTCGGAATCACAGACAATTTTCGTTAACGAATGGAATGAGTCATGTTTGTGAGTTCTTTTATCACCACTTTTTAGATTACCTGTTTTACTTGGAAACAATATTACTTTACTACAAAATTTTTGATGACATTAAAAGAACCTTCTTTGACAGTGTTAGCCGACTAATTTGTAGAGTTCAATTTGTTGTTTAATACTTTGAAGTATTGGAAATATAATAATTAATTAAAATTTGGTGTATATGTTAACTTGACATGGTAAAAAATTTTCCTCACGCTAAGCAGCCTTGATTAAAAATACTCTATGAGCCATTTTAGGCTTCATTTAAACAAAAGTCCCAAAACGAAAATGAAAAGGTAACACTCTTCATTTCGTCAATTTGAGGTTAAAATTTCGAACAAATATACTCTAATTCACAAAACTTTCAACTTTTCGTTTGAAAGATTTGTGAATTAGAGTAGCCTTGGAGAATTTAATTGTCAAACTATTTTCGGACGAACGAATTTTCGAAAAGGAAACAGAGCAGGAAACGTGCGAAATTTCGATCGAAATTTAGTTTTTCGTTGAAATAGAGTAGGCCTCCTGATCTGGCTGACCATGTCAGATCAGGAGGCCTACTTTATTTCATGTCCCGGATAAAAATCATTTGATATGTCACCAGGACCACCAGGTAGACCTAAGATTTATTCTATCATGGGAAACCACTGAATTCGGACAGCTCAGAACTGATTTTTGGGGAAACCCAGTAGTGGGCGTCGAATGGCTGAATTATGATGGATAAGGTTTTTCAACAACTTGCCACATTGTATTACAGATTTGCCTCTATGAAGTTAAAACTCATGTTTATAAATGTTTTGATGAGCAAAGGGCATTGCTAATTGCAAGAAAGAAGCATCTTTGGGGCAATAATTTTACAATGATGCCGTATTACCTGAACAATGTCGATGAGTTTCTAAACCCAAGTTTTTCTAAATGGGTATTGCATAAAACAGATACGAGAAATTTTAAGCTTTGGCTGTTACGTACTTACAGGGAAACTTCTACTAAACTTAATATTAAGAATGTTAGCTAGCTACAAAACATTCCGAAAATCACCTTGGATGCTTACTGCATTCTTATTTAACATTTTAAAGTTCCATACTCGTTAAAAATGGTACTTAATTCCTACTAAAAATGGCTGATGTTCATTGTTCCAAAAATTGATGTTAATGTCAATGTCAATACAGCTAAGCACTTATGGTACGCCCCCGGTACCTTGGTGAACTATGTTACTATCGGACATTTTATTTTTAAGCATTTAACTGCTAGATTTATGAAGATGAAGAGAATTTTTACTAAAAAAAATTCACACCGTCCAGGTTTCAGACAGGAGTCGAACTCGCAACTTCCGCAATTCGGGTGGACGCAATAACCAATTATGATAAAGAGACCTGAATCACAGTCTAAGATATTTGTACTGTGCCTTAATGACCGTGTCGAATTTCCTCTAGTATTTCTTACGCTCCAAGGCAAGGTATACTACTGATCTTATTGTACCACTGAGACTAGATACATACACACATTTTTTTTTCTGGTAAATGAGAATAGTTATATATGTATTTGTATTAAATTAAATATAAAAAACTTTAAAAAACAAGCTGTTATTTAAATGCGCTAGAAATAATAAAATAAAAATTTGTTTTAAAACTTTTACTATCAACTTATTACGTCAACACAAGTTATGTAATTTTGACATAAAAATATTTTGACATTTAATTCTAACTATGACTTGTTTGATTGTAATTGCAATTTATTAATATGGATCTTTATATAATTGTAAACCTAATTATTTCATAAAAAATATTGTATACCTTGTAATAAGGTCGAAATGTAGTGACACTAAACATTTAACCTAACACCAATTTGCTGTACTAACCTACATTTCACAATAAAGCATTTGAATTTACACTGATATTTTCTTAGTTTGAAAAATTTTGAAGATTCAAAAATAATCAAGTAGGAAAAATTGCGAACACCGTAAATTTTTATTTACATCACATATATATTTTTTTTCTATTTATCATATACCTACAGGTTTGTACGGTGCCCTCGGTGCGCGAGTCCCACTTTCACTTGGCGGGTTTTTTAACAAATGTTCGCACTTCGTGTGCCTTGAGTCCGTGACAAGTCCTTCAAGTCCAAAAAGTCCTTCGTCTGCGCAGGCTTTAAGAAGAACAAGTATATCGCACTGGTCTAAGAAAACCCAGGAGAAACAACGCCTTTTAAAAACAGTCCGAGGCTGTGTAACTTATGATTGATAAGGATGAAATGAAGCGATCTTTCCGCCAGTCGAATCTTTAGTTAGTATGAGTCATAGTCACAACGATCTACGAGGTCGCTAACACAGATCCGCATGCACTGTAAAGTACGCGTTTAAGGTATTATTTATCAGTTAATCGTGCTTTAATCTCTTTTACTGTCAACATTTTGCGCGCATATCTTTTAGATGCGTGCATGTATTTTGACGATTCCTTTTTGTTATAATTTTTATTTTTTCGAAAATCCTCTAGTCATTCTTTATCATTCTGCTTGCGCAAGCTTAAGAATGACTAGAGGAATTTCGACGCGGTCCGTGAGGGCGGCGGTAGCATAATTGGTCAGTGCAATCGCCCGGATTACGAAGGGTGCGGGTTCGAGTCCCGCTTGCTGCCTGGTCCGCGTGGAATTTTTTCTAGTTATATTTTCTTTAGATTCCTTTTTGTTTGAATCAGTTTTGTGGCGAAAAGGTCCTTTATTAATTTGCGAAGAAAACAATGGAACTCCTCAATTAAAATTAAAATCAGTACTCAATTCGTGTTTAGTTATTTTAAAAGATATAAAACTAATAATAAATATAAACATAATACGGTATTCTTTACAAGTATCTAAAGTACATTTGAAGCCAAATTGATATTTGGCTTTAAATGTCCTTAACTTGGCCAGCCCAAGCATAAAAATGGTAACTCAAATCTATCAGCATGCATGGCGCTGACTCCAAATATTAATTTGATTTTAAAGGTAATTTGTTTAAAGGTATTTTTTGTTGTTTGGTTTAGTATTTCGCATTGCATTGCTTTGCTTGCTGTTATGATGTTGTGTTTTTTGCTATTTTTGATTGACTTTTTTTTATCTTAAATTTTTGTTACTTGAAAGCAAAGGATGTTAAGTCCATACATCCTTTCAAGTAATATTTTTTTATTTACATGTCTTTTTTTTGTGTCACTAAACAGGCCCTGCCAGAATAACAGCGCTGGTGCGACACAATGTCGCATCAGCTAATGCTGAGGCAGGGTCCTGGTTAAGAAATTTTCAGTGTTTTCTCCGAGAGTACTCATCAGATCCTCATCAAAATAATATTGGACCAGTACGCCAAAAAACTGATTCAAATAAAAAAATATTATCAAAATCGGTCCACTCTTCTCGGAGGTATGCGCCAACAACAATAAAAAAAAACCTTCTCCTTTTTGAAGTCGGTTAAAAAACTCGCGACAAGTTACACAGACTGACATCAGATGTGCGATAAGTAGCTATGGCAATGAAACTAAAATATACGTAAAGATGTTTAATAATATCATGATGATATTTAAAGCTAATAAAGGTAGGAGCCCATTCGAGAGAAGGAATTCGAAAAATTCGTTAACCAGTTTATTGTCAATGCGCACGACCTTCGTCTGTCATGCATAGCATT